CATTTCAATTTGTTCCCGTTGACTTATGCATAATGTTTGCATTCTTGACCTTACAGGTTACAGATATCAAGCTTCAGAGATACGTATTTATTCATGCTGTTAACCCGCGCCCCGTAGGGCTACCGGCGGACCCTACCACCCGTAGGGGGGGGGGGGCGTTTCGGCCCCCCCCTAAGATCTCGGAAAGTTACCGGCCGATTTTCAAAATTCAAACGTCGTTCGATAGCCCCACCCGGGAACTACCTTGTGACCAAATTTCATTGACCTAGGTCAAACCGATGACGTCACAGGTCAGGTCAAAGGTCAGATTTTCACCGTTCACAGGCAATTCAAGAAATGTGCTGTGAAAGCGAGTAAATTGGTAATTTATTGAAAACCATCGATGGTACATTGTTCGTCAAACACATACTTTGCTATCTGAGGTCACTGATACCAGGTCAGGTCACAGCGAGGTCAGGTCACCGGGGGTCACAATATGAATGTGTCGTGTGATACATGTTTTATGGTCCATTTTACATGACAAATGCGATTATGTGGGTTAGGCAGCCTTTGGGGCCAGCCTAGGTCACGTTTTTGTGAAGGTCAGGTCAAGGTCAGGTCAAATTAGGTCAAATTTCAAAGTTGATATTTTTGCATAAAATGGGTATCGATTCGATGCAGCTCGTCACGGGGAGTCTAATGGTGGTCTTCGTTTTGCTCTACGAGTTCTAGAATTGCCAAAAATTGAGTTTGAAAATTTGACGTCATCATTTTTGAACAGTTTTTTCGCTATAACTTGGCCAAAAAACGAGGTATTGATCTGAAATTTGGTATGTAGATAGAAGACGGTAGGAACTATCACATATATTCCGGTTTTTCCGAAACTCAAAAAACTTTTTGGATTTTTTGGCGAATATATCCAAAAAAATGCTTTTTTGATTTTTGGGGGTCAAAACTCAAAAATTTCAAAAATTCGAGATAGCAGTTTTGTAGCCCTGTCAATTCTACACCTTTTATGTCTTGATCATTTTTCTGTATCTTCAAAGCTGTAGTCCTGACAGGTCTTCTCGCGAAGGTCTTTTTTCGGTCGAAAATGACAGAACATGACGTCACTCTGACGTCATTTGTGGCCAACCTATCATAGCCTCTGGAAAAATGTTTAGTCACAATGTGTAAAATTGATGCCCGGAGGGGTCCTGAAAGTTTGGTGGCGATATCTCCAGCCGTTTAGGAGATATCGACCGAAAAGGACAGGGAGGGGCCGTTTCGGCCCCCCCTACGGGGCGCGGGTTAATCTTATCAATCGCCTAAAATTTGAAAGTGATCACTCAGATAGTGTAGCATTGGCGAACAAACTCTTAATTTTCTGGGATGAGGTCACTTGATGTGGCCTGGTGACCTGACCTTGAGCGACCTGGGTATGAATTTTAACATGTGCAAAAATCTTGGACAAAAGTGGGCAGGGCGCCGCCGTTTTTTTAAGATCTGCGAAATACCGCAGGAGGGGGAGTGGTGTTCATGTTCAAACACCTCAAGCCCGCCGCGTAGTCATCCTATACTTGTTTCTGTAGTCTGTACGTGTTTCTATTTCGAAGTGTCGTCCTTTCGTGTTTCTCCAGAATATGCCTCCCTGGATCTTCCCAGATGCCGCCTAGTGAGAACCCAGCGGAGCTTCACTTATAGGGCTGCATCCGCCTGGAACGCCCAATTAACACGCAGTTAGACTGGATAGCACCGGAGAGGCCCAAGTGAATCACCAGCGCTGTGTTTTAAACAAAATGTTTTAGGTCTTGCAATGTGTCTCATTTTTAACCATGCTTTTACCAGTGTACAATGACTGGATTCGTAATACCCACCATGTGGAGCATTCTAATAAATGACTCTGACTCTGACTCTGAAAAGCCAAGAACATAAACATTTTCATGGAGCAAACGGTCTTCGAAGTGGAGCTCAGTTGCCATGTACCCACTCAAGTGCGCTCCGTTTTCAAAGAGCTGAAGCAAAGGGCAAAGAGATAGAAGGGCTCAGAGATCAAGCTTCGGGCCGCGCTGAAGTGAACAGAGCTGTAAAAGGTGTGTGTGGCGAGGGAGGGGGGGGGGGGGTAGGCACGACAGGCGATTATGAACTGCGAAGTGTGTGAATAGGGCTAGAGAGAGCTAGCGTCCTACGGCGACCTCGGTGAACACTGAACTGATACGGACTTAACCCGGCACCGCCTGGGCTATTTCCGTACCCACATCAGCCTGGGGGGGGGGGGGGGTCGGATCCGACCCCCCCCCCCCTGTTATCTCGAGAACCAATGGTCGTATCGAGCCCCGCGAGGCGGCGTTCGAAAGGTCTCTACGAGACCTTCCCAAAGCACTCTTAAGATTTTAAGATTGAGGTCAACTTTCGGGTCAAGGTCAGGTCAAAGGTCGAATTCAGGGGTTTTGCATGATTAGGCTTACGGACAGCGGAATCGATAGCTGCTGCTCGAAACTCACCACAAATGACCTCAAAGACCTAGTGAATGTACCATGTGCGTATAGGGGTCATACTAAGTACGGGTCAAGGTCAGGTCAGGTCACGAAAGGTCACGGTTTTCACTTTCTGCTACATGGGCGTGCGACACATGTTTTATGGCTTATTTTTCACGCCAAATCCGATGGTAATGGTTATATGTCACCCCAAGTCACTGTGCTGGTGATAAGTGTGCATTGAAAGCATAAAAAATCGTTTATACCATACATAACTAAACGAGGGCTAAGAAAAAAAGTCAATTTTTCAACTTTTTATTTTTGACATAAAAATGCACTTTTCTAGACGAGCTTTGTCCCAGGAATCTAGTGGTGCCATTTGTTTTCACATGCGATGTTCAGAAGTGCCTCTAATTCGCGAAAATGCTTATGACGTCACCATGCCCTATGCATGTTGGAGCTATTTTTTTACAATTTGGGGGTAAAAAATCAAGATAGAAAGTTGAAATTTGGGACATCTAATGTTCTAATAGAGCTTTATAACATATATTCCGGTTTTTTGGAAATTCTCAAAATTTTGGATTTTATTAGCTGTTTTCCAAAAAATATAGTTTTTTGAATTTTTAGGGGTGAAAAACGCATTTTATGGAAAATCCGAGATAGCCATTTTAAAGAACTCGTTGAGTTGCGTCTTTTCATGTCCTTAATTTGCAATTTGCTTAAAACCTCGATTTTTGGCGATTTTTTAAACATTTACCATTTTTTGACTGAAAACGCCATGTAGTTACATCACTAAAATCGATATATCTCAAAAATTTTGAAATTTTTTTCTTAAAAATTGCACAGGAGACGTCAAATTGATGGGGGAGAAGGTATGCGAAGTTTCAAGTTTATAGCGCAAGCGGTTCATGAGTTATTCAAGAAAAACGGAGGGGGGGGGGGTCGGATCCGACCCCCCCCCAGGCGGTCGCGGGTTAAGAGGGAGGAGGGGGGCTGATATGTAGTAGACATGTGCATGGATCCGAGTGATTGATCCATGATCTCAGTGGATCTTAAAGCAAACGACAAGCTTGGATCTATAATCCCATTGTATCCCACGTAGAAAATGTATCCTGAATCTGTGAATCTATGATCTCATTGCATCTTATAACAAACCAAAATCAGGATCTGAGATCCGATTGAATCCCACCACATGCAACCTATAATGAAACCATGTTTCCATGCGACTTGTTTTGAATTTTTAATTTGAATTTGCGTTGTTTTAAATTTTCTCCGTGTACCAACTGCGCCACTGGAGCCGCCCATATACTCCATGACACCCACAGGGTGTCATGGAGTATATTGAGCCTGTGGGCTCCCTGTGGGTGTCAACTTGGTGACACCGTTATAAGTGTAAGCAGCGCTGTGACACCTTTAAATTACACCCGTGGGTATGCAGTTTAACACACACCCAGGCGATTATTCCCCCCAGTATTCCTATGGGTGTCAACTTGGTGACACCGTTATAAGCGTTGTGTTGTGACACCTTTAAATTACACCCGTGGGTATGCAGTTTAACACACACCCAAGCGATTATTCCCCCCAGTATCCCTACGGGTGTTATCTTGGTGACACCATTATAAGTGTAAATAGGGTGTCTGAGGGGAGTCGAAACGCACCCTTGTCTGGGGTGTATGACACCACAGTACAGAAACTGGACACCCTTAGGGATAGTACAATGGTGTATCTTGACGCTCATATAAGTGTTATCTGACACCTTTCAAAAACACCCGTGGGTATGCAGTTTAACCACTTACACCGTTAGCAGTGTTTTAAATTTTCTCCGTGTGTGGTTACTGCATGAGGCATCAATACCCGCTCATGTGCTGTTTGTGCCCCGGTGAGACGTCACATTAGACATTTACGTTATACCTAGTTATGTGTGACGTTGCATTATATTTGCGCTAAGTGGCGTCACATATCATATGTGAGTTTATACTGCGGGAAACCACTCCACCATTGTGCATGTCGAGTTGTGGTCATCTTCCGTAGCCAGTGGCGTACCCAGGAATTTGCGAAGGACCAGGGCATTGGACGAGAGGGCGCCAATCAAGGAGGGCGCCAACAACAAGGAGGGCGCCACATATCTGAAACTTGAATGTGTCAGTTATGTTCGTACACGTGCGGAACGAACATAACTGACATACTGGACAGAGGGGCGCCACCCACCATCATCTAGGAGCGCGACGCTATCGATTGGAGGGGCGCCAATACTGGACAAAGGGGCGCCACCGGCCCACCATATCGTCTAGGAGGGCGACACTATCACCAGAGGAGCACCAATACTGGACAGAGGGGCTTCGCCATCAACTAGAAGCGCGCCGCTATCGACTGCAGGAGCGCCAACTCTGGACAGAGGGGCGCCAGTCACTGAGGGCGCCGGGGACGATGAGCCAAAGGGACAGGGCATGCACGGAATGTCCTGTATGTGCGTACGCCACTGTCTTCGACCGTCTTGTCTCTTTATGTAACCTTTTTCATTTCAAACCACTACCTATACCTAGGTATTTTTCGTCTTGTCCACAGAACCTGCCTATGGGAAGCTGAGACAGAAGTCCACCAGCAGCATCAAAGTGTTGAAGGCTACCTAGAAGTACCTATCATTCGAAAATACCACGCCGACTGAGAATGCGCCTACATCCTCAGTGAGTTCTGTTCTGTTCTGGTGGTGTGCATTTAGTCCCTTCCATAGACAGGAGGGAACACACAGGTGGCAGCACCATACACAGTGGTTTCACCACCAGATGGCAGCAGCCTACCATGGATAAACTCTACAATTGCTTACCAATAGACGGACAACAACGGCCAGTTAGCTTCAGTCACAGTAAATTGTCGTTAAATATGAAATGTGTGCCCCCTATACGTATCGCTGTTGTAACGACCAGCGGTGGTGAGTTCTGATGGGTGTGTACGAGATCAGGACGTCCAGACTTCAGAGGTCATTGGTGCGAGCGGTCACTGTAGTAGGTAGGTAGGTATAGGAGGAATCAGGGCTGCGGAGTCGATGGATTTTCGGCGACTCCAACTCCGACTCCGACTCCGGCTTTCAAAAACCAGCTCCGACTCCGACTCCGACTCCGGGCAGAATTGTCGACTCCGACCGACTCCAACTTCAGACTCCGACTCCGCAGACCTAGCAGGGCTGCGGAGTCGACAGATTTTCGGCGACTTCGACTCCGACTCCGGCTCGGGTTTCTAAAATCGACCCGACTCCGACTCCGACTCCGGTCACAACTGTCGACTCCGACCGACTCCGACTCCGACTCCGACTCCGACTCCGCAGCCCTGGGAGGAATTGTGTAGGATGTCATGTTCCTAAGCATGCTGTAGAAGGTATATCGATAACACAGCAATTGTAAGTCGTCAGCCCTTGGTTTAACTGTGTTCAGCACACAAATAGAGACATTACTCTAACGCTAACCATCCCGAAGTGTTTTTATTTTTATTTTTTGTTAATATCGCGGTTATTTTAACGAACTTGTCCAGCGACGTCATAATGTCTTATGTCTTCGTAACGTCATTATGTCTAATCAGTGTATTGCCGCTGTGACGTCACTTTGGCATTCTCCCGCTACGTCATATCGCACATATTGTTCCTGTTTGGCGTAATAAGTCCATTTTCTCCCCATGTAACGTCACATTCCAACCCGGTGCCGGCAGGCTCGTTCCCCCTTCTGATTGGCTCATCACAAGACGCCGAGGTGACGGACAAATGGGACGACAGTCTGCCGGGCTTTATCTCCAACAGCAGGTGAAGCTGCGCTCCTTCAGCACCGGGTGAACACGGTGGGGTCGAACATAACGCCTGCTTGTTCTTACTATGCTGCTTCTGCTTATGCGTTTCCTGTATCATGTATGATGAAAAACAATGACGTGATAGTTCGGTGAAAATCATTCAAATGATGTGAGCAATATTAGATATTGTGTGACTTAGGGAACAAAAATATGGATAAGATACACAGTTAGATGATCATGCTGCCTTATCCAGCCTTATCCCTTAGAGCACCCTGCTCTACGGAATCGATAGAATGAACGCACCATATGTCCTTTACATTTCGAACGGCGCCTGTGAAAACTGAATAGCTATTAGTGCGCTCAGTGTCTCGTATCGATACACGGGGCAGCGGTGTCAACAAACCCGACCGAGGGAGGACTGCCAAGTTTGAGCGCCACCGAACCCCCTGACCTGGGAATGGATGACGATAGCGAGGGGAAGGGGGCGGGGCGAGCTTAGCCGGCGGTTCTCCGCCCCTCACATTGTCTGTGTATCGGTACTTTTGTGAGAGACTGTACAATCACATGGTGTGTGCTGTTGAAATTTGCTGTTGGGTGTAAATTTGATAGAAACTGTTTGACGTGAGAAACAAGTGTAATTAATGGCTAAGTGCCGATATTATGCACGGCGATAGGGATAAGGGATAATTGGCTTTTCCCACATTGTCTACAAATGTGTGAATGATTTATGAGCGCGAAAGTATGCAAACGAGACATAATTTTAGGACACCTGTATCAGAGAAAGGTAAATGAGCTACGCGTTTTTTTTTTTTTTGCTTTCTTACAGGACAAGAGTTCTATACTTCAATCACATGATAATGCTTTTGCTGCTTGAGATTGCTCACAATAAATACATGCAAGTTCTATCGTTTTTTTTTTCATGCGTTCTTTTGCTACGCTGACCCTCGCCGGTGGGGGGGGGGGGGGTGCAGAATCTGCCCATAACCGTTTTTCGGCAATATCCAGTAGATTAACGGTCGGTAACGGCAGATAACAATACTGGATAGCGATACTTTGCTAACGAATATAAAACTTCGCAAAAAAACGAGCATATTGTATTATTTGTCGAGAGGAGGCCGATTCTACGCAGATTCATCCATGACCTAGTTCATTGGTTGATTTTATAGGTCAAGTCAATGACCCAAAGGTCGTAAAAATTGGGCGCTGCTAGAACTTGGTACAGTGAAGTTGTCATTGGGTTTCAGGGTCCTGTCCAGCTCACGGATGTCGTTGGTACAACGTTGTCAAAACGTTGCATTTCGGTAAGTTCTGGTGTACAACGTTGTCAGGACGCTATGGCAACGTTACAGGCGTGCGTCAGCAAGGTTGACGAAAGGTCCGTCATTTTACGTTTTGTTGACTTTATGCCGATACGTTGCGCCGACGTCGTATATGACGTCGGCACAGTTATGCTATAGCATAACTTCGAAATATCGACATGAGTGAGTTCCAAATGCTTTTCTGCTATGATAGGTGGACAATGCCCAGACAGCCAGAAAAGACATAGATTGCTGTTCTGGTATGTCTTGTTTTGAATTGACTACACAATGATGGTTCTCATCATAGCTGCTTGTGGCTTTTGTAACATTATCACATTTTCTCGTGACTATTCGTGATGTCATTATATCTGTCGGGGCTGTTGTTTGGAGGCGTCATCAAAATTCCTCGCGACTTTTGAGGGCTTGGCATGATACCTATTTGCTCCTTATTTGTGGTGATCCATCATCATGTAAGCACTTCATTGTTACGACTTCATCATATTTCCTCACAGCTAGTTATGACGTGATTAGTTTTATATCAGACTTGTGTTGACAATATATTTATTCCTGACTATGTATGACGTCATAATTTCCGTTCCTGACTACCAATGACGTCATATTTGTTCCGGTCGCGACTGACAACTATTCCGTCCGTGACGTTGGTTCCTGACTACCAACGACGTCATATTTGTTCGGGTCGCGACTGACGAACTATCCCGTCCGTGACGTTGGTTCTGACTACCAATGACGTCATATTTGTTCCGGTCGCGACTGACGAACTATCCCGTCCGTGACGTTGGTTCCTGACTACCAACGACGTCATATTTGTTCGGGTCGCGACTGACGAACTATTCCGTCCGTGACGTTGGTTCCTGACTACCAATGACGTCATATTTGTTCGGGTCGCGACTGACGAACTATCCCGTCCGTGACATTGGTTCCTGACTACCAATGACGTCATATTTGTTCGGGTCGCAAATGACGACCTATCGCGTCCGTGACGTTGGTTCTGACTACCAATGACGTCATATTTGTTCGGGTCGCGACTGACGAACTATCCCGTCCGTGACGTTGGTTCTGACTACCAATGACGTCATATTTGTTCGGGTCGCGACTGACGAACTATTCCGTCCGTGACGTTGGTTCCTGACTACCAATGACGTCATATTTGTTCCGGTCGCGACTGACGAACTATTCCGTCCGTGACGTTGGTTCCTGACTACTAATGACGTCATATTTGTTCGGGTCGCGGCTGACGAACTATTCCGTCCGTGACGTCTCTGTTCAAGTCTGGTGAATCGCCGTCTCTGAAAAGAAAACAAAGAGAGATCAGCATCATAAATCAGAACATGGAGAAGAGGAGATAGATGGGAAGAGAGAGAGAGAGAGAGAGAGAGAGAGAGAGAGAGAGAGAGAGAGAGAGAGAGAAAGAGAGAGAGAGAGAGAGAGAGAGAGAGAGAGAGAGAGAGAGAGAGAGAGAGAGAGAGAGAGAGAGAGAGAGAGAGAGAGAGAGAGAGAGAGAGAGAGAGAGAGAGAGAGAGAGAGAGAGAGAGAGCAGTCGTCGACACGTTACACCAACAGACATGCCCCAGATAATGTAGCCGTAATGATCAGATCCCTAACTATGACGTCACCGTACGATATGACGTCATACAGCGGTTCATTCACGTCAGGTCACTGTTCCACTGTTCCACTCTTCACACAGGCCGTGTGGACCGCCCGGGGTCACAGTTGTGACTGTTCCGGAACACCAGAGGTCACACAGGTGTGACCCGAGTTTGACCTGAGACACCACTTCCGGCTAGTACATTTGGAGAGGATGTGTGATTTTGTAGAGAGAGAGAGAGAGAGAGAGAGAGAGAGAGAGAGAGAGCAGGGGTGTCGTTTTCCGAAAATGATTGGTAGTGCCCAAAGGCGGCGGCTGGCCATATATGACGGGGCTTACAAGGTAGGGTACCCCCAAATCTGCCTTTCTCATCGGATTTCGGCCACTTATTTTTCGCCCTGGTCATTGACAAGACTAACCGAAATCTAAAAAAAAAACACAAAAAAAAAAACTGGAAATCTGGGTCCACACCGGACGCCATGCACAAAACGTGCAGTTATATAGGCAATAGAGTCGGAGGAATGCACGCCATTCTGAAAGAGGCCCACATCGACTTAAAAGGACGGCTGTGCTGAAAGGGGACAGGAACAGCTTTGAGGGCCCAAGCCGACTAAAAAAGACGGCTGCGGGGCCAGGAACGGTTTTGAAGACCCACGCCAATTGAAGGGTTCGACAACTAACGAGGACTGGAAACACAACGATAGTTAGAAAGACCTGCTTGCCAAAATAAAAGGATGACAGTACGAGGGGCGTTCAGAAAGCTACGGGCCCGACCATGAAGGAGCAGAGAGATACAGCATCGACTCATTAGACCAAAAAGTTCATTTATTCAAATAAACACCGTTAAGACAAACACATTTCGCGCAGCGCTTCGCGAGAGCCCTCAAGGCCTCCATAACCAAGTGGGTTTTGGACCCATCCTGCACGTCCAAGACGGCTGATTTCGTCTCCCTGCTGTTAGCGAGGTTGCCGCTGCTAATTTTCTTATGTTGGGGAAGAGGTGGCAACCACTAACCAGAGTGTGCAAGGTTCGGAGAGAAAAAAGTGGATGCGACAACAACTCGAAGCTCATCGCTTCACTGTTCGTCATCCCGCCCATGTACGCAGGTGCGTGGTCGCGGATCAGGTGCACACTTTACGTCAGCTTCCCTATAGCCTCTCCTCGATGTTTATCGAATGGACGCACATCATCCATTGTGTGCCCCTGTTTTGGAAAGTTGACGAGCGGAGGGGGGTCGCATCGACCCCTCCCCCTGCCAGGCCGTGTTATGAAAAATGCCCAGGGCGAGGGTTAACGCTTGGTGCCTTTTCTGCACTAACTACTATGAAACGAATCACTGCTCTCTTCTGGGCGTCGCCCATCCTATCCGAAATGGCGAACTATGCTACGAATAGAAGCCCGAATCAATCACAGAAGAGACTTAATTAATGGCCACTTACTTAATTTGCGTAAGTGGACATCCCAATAACACATCATTTAACACACCGCCTTGCAGGCCAAAATTCCAACTCCTTCATTGTTCGGCCCGAAACTTTTTGAACGCCCCTCGTAGTTACGAGCTTCAGTTTTCGGGGTCTGATGCGGTAATGACCTGGCGTTGAACCCTGGGGAATCAGGCTGCATCACCCACTCAAATCAATATACCTATGGCCTATTCTGTAACCGAAGGTTTGTTGTCAATAGTTAAAACACTATTCTTTAGAATTGTGTTTTTCTATTGAAAAACAAATCTGAGTTCCCTGACAATTTGGCAAAAGCTGCCTGAGATCAGTACAACTTGATGCTCTTGAAAACGGCTGCTCCAAAAATTCTGATTTTTTCAGGATTTTTAGTGGGCCAGGTGATCTACGTTCTGGTATGGGTCTCCCCTCCGCGGACCATCTGATGCACGTGCCACGTGACTTTGAAAATTCCCGTGTTAAGCCAATGGGCAAAATGAAAAAATGCGTTCCACGGCAGATTGCTCAAAAACGATCCAAACGACCCCCCATTTTCTTCCATGCAGATCAACCACCATTCGGTGCACTACCCATGGGTATGTCGCAAAGTGGCCGGAAAAGTCCAGAACCACGTGCCACGTGCCGTTGAAAATGACCCTGCACACCGGAAATTGGGACTTTTGGTCATTTCGGCGCACCCATGATGCATACTATGGCGTGGGTGACCAAACAATGGGTGTCATCCGGTCGGCAACTGTTTAAGGTGTCGTCCAGCGGGCCAAAGTGGTAGTTTCAAACTTTTGGGATCCACCATTCTGGGGATTCTTTTTGACAATATACTTACGTTTCTTGGCGCAATGTTCGTTCCACCCAGCCGGTCGTCAATGCGTTAAGTGACCCAAATGACGATTGACCTGAAGGAAGTTGGGGGCGAGGAACACGCACGTGCCATCCGTTTTTTAATCGGGCGCTTTCATCTAGGAGATTTTTGCAGATATCTTTTTGATTTGTGAAAATGACCAGCCTAGCGGTATGCCAGTCGTTGATAAATTATTATCTTGCTGCGGCCGGGCGCTTATTTGCGGTGTTTGCGTTTGGCGGCTGGCGGGCGACTTTTAGTCGTTTTCGGTTAGCAGTTAGCGTCGGTGCGGTGCGGGCGGTTTTATTTTTTTCGGCGTTTCGGCGTTTTTTTCTGTGTGGTTTGCGGCGGTCGGGCGATTTTTTTGCCGTTTGCGTTGGCTTTTCGGGCGTGCGTTTTACAGTTTTGCGGTGTTTACGTTTTGCGGCGGGCGGG